ATACGGATTTAGCGTCTGTAAACCTGAAAGTGGCCTCGATCCGTCTCGACCATCTGGACGCTCCCAAGAACTGTGCGCGTCACGTGCTCAGCCTGCCTACTGGCGCCCTGGACGTGATCGATCGCCAAGCATCTCCTGCCGCGGAGGTTGAGCCTTCTATCATGCACGGCATGTCTTCACCGATCGCCGAGTCTGTGGGAACTGAGTCGTTGATGCAGGAGGAAGTTGCCGCTCCCACCGAGTCGGTGGACGGCGAGGAAGATTCCGCTCAAACATCATCCTTGAGTGCCGAGGAAGATCCCGCTCATTCAGAGGAGATAAATGACAAGGAAGCTTCCGCTCAACCAGAATTGATGAGTGCCGAGGAAGATTCCCCTCAGTCTGAGTCGACGAATGGGAAGGAAGTTTCCGCGCAAACGAAGTCGGTGGACAATCTAGAGCCTCCTTCAGAAACCGAGTTGTTGGATGATGGAGCTTCCCCGTCCATCGATCATGTGCACTTGTCGGGCCAATCGGAGTTCGAAAAGTCGTCCGTTGTCTCGGCGGGATCTGAAAGTCCTTTGTCAACGGTCAGCCAGACAGAAGATTCTTTGGATAATGGTCAACCCATCTCCGTTAACGATCTGACGGAGGCTAGAGCCGCATCCCCTTCACCCTCGGAGCCTGTTCCCATCGAGGATGTGGCTGAGGAAGGGACCACGTACAGTTCAGATATCAACATCCGATCTGTAAGTACGTTGACGAGCATCACTGAGCCGGAGCACTGTGCGATGGAGGACATTCGGACCAGCTCCGCTGACAGTGCGGCGGAGGCTGAAGACGACTCTCCTACGCCTTCAAAGGGCAAGGCCACTGCGGAAGCGGATCAGGAAGAACCAGCAACTCGTCCCTTTCACGACGTTTGTTTGAAAGACGATTCAAGCTCTGTATCCAGCCTTAACGAGTCGGACTTTTCGGCGATGGGCGGCATTCAGACCAGCTCCGCTGATGGAGTGGCCAGAGAGCCTGCTTCTGCAGTGCGCAAGCGCGCCGAGGAAGTATACAGTGAAAAGTTACCCACTCCGCCTGATAACCTGTCTTCGAACAGCGCGCAGCAGCTCGAAGCTCCATCTTCGGAAGCAGACTCGCTGCCCGCAGGCCAAACCAACCTTGCCGGTGCCTCAACGGGTTCTGAAAGTCCGCCAACAGCTATCAATGAGCCACAAAACTTTCGGCCCAGCTCCGCTGACTCTGAGCCCGTGCTGCGACATGGCTCTCCTGCAGAAAGCTCTTCCAGTGTGAAACAAGAAGAGGAATTCAGGAGTCCCAGTTCACGCCACCAGGTACTTTCCAAGATCGACCGAGCCTACGAAGCCTCATCCTTGGATGCAAGCAAGCTGCCCGCAGATGAATCCAAAATTTCCAATGCTTCCGATGATCAGTCTCCCCTGGATTTTGACGAAGCAAGTGCTGAGGGACCCACTTCTAATGAGATGACGTTGGATGAACAGTCAGACCTGGTGGCTGAACCATTTGTAAGGCCTGTGGTGTTACCGGAAGACGAGGATGCCACGGAGGCGTCGGAAACTGGGTCGCACAGCTCTGCCCTTTCGACCGTCCCTTTTCCACAAAGCGTAACCCAACCGGAATTTGAGAACCTTCTTAGTTCCATACCCAATCCGCAGGTCGTCGCCGAGGCAGACGGCGAGTCGCTTGCTCTCCTGCCGAAATTGGAGTGTGAAATGCTCGAAACACCCGAAAACGACGCTGCCTTCTCCACGGACGGGAGCTTGTCATCGGTGGAGGATGCGGAGAGCAGCGAGTCATCTAGCGCGGATGAAGCCGAGTCGGCACCTCTTCGTCCAGCTCAAAGTCCAACACCTGGCATCGAAGAAGCAGACTTGGAATTGGGAAGTCAAGCTCGTAGTCCATCATCTGACGAGGTCACCTTGCATGAAGAGGTGGACAACACAAACGCAGGCGAGGAAGGAGAGCCCGAATGTGTTGAGGAGGCAACACCGGAACAAGTGCAGGATATCGCTACGGTCCTTGAGGAGGCGAGCGTTTCTCTTTCTCCGAAAGTCAGCGCAAAGCCCATCAAGAGGACGCATGAGGCTGACGATTCTGGGGACGAAAGCGCTGGAAACGGGTCTGTGGATTCTGCGACGCACATCGAGAGCCCGAGTTCACCCCTTCGCAAGAAGGTCAAGTTAGCAGAGAGTCTCAATGGATCGGGAGACGTTCAACCCGAGGAAAACGAGACGAGCTCTCCTCAGCCTTCACCCTCCTCTTCGGCTACAAACAGCAAGCGGGAACTCCCGGAAGAGTCGGCTATGCATATGCACAGCGATCCGGATCATCTTGAACCTTCGACGGTTGAACCAATGGGCAAGCGTAGGAAGGTCGACTCAGAGAGCAATCCCATCCCATATTCGATGGCCTTCCCCACGCGACGAGCTACCCGCGACAGGCCTCCCGTCGACTATAAGTCACTTCTGGACGGACCCTCGATCAGTCGACGCGTGGTGCCTGCAGGAAAGAAGGCAAAGTTCAATGAGCAGGGTCAACGGGTGTACTGCAGCTGCAGAGAACCTGACCTCGGCACGTTCATGATATCGTGCGACAACTGCGAAGAGTGGTACGTGAAGTCTTTCTCGAACATGTTGCGAAAAATGTCATGGTCTCACACTTATTTCCTCAGGTTCCATGGCTCGTGCGTCGGATTAACCAAAAAAACCGGAGAGCAACTAGAAGCTTTCACCTGTCCAGCATGTCAAGACCTTGCTCCCCGCTCCAAAAGAGCTACCGCGAAGGGCAAAAGGGGCAAAGCTCGCCGATGACAAAACGCCTACAACTCTTTCCTTTCTTTCATTTTGCCTGCACTCGTGTCGCCTCACCGATGCACAGTGGTTTCGACGCCCTTTTGGCGGTGAGTCCAACGATCTCAAGTGCGAAACCCGTGGCAAGAGCCGACATGTCTCAGACTCCCACCCCCTTTCATCAGCTTCGAGCAGCCGTCATGGCTCGTCCTCTTTCCCTCCGTATCTCGTGACGCCGCATTTCCTCCATTCTTCCAGTCTCTTTCCCCATATGTACATAGTATAGTAACATCATCCCCTTGTAATATATGCATCGATGGCCTCGTCTTGTTTCCCGCAAGATTTGGCTGGCCAAATCCCGCTTTCTGCACCGTAACATCATCCCCTTGTAATGTATGCATCGATGCCTCGTCTTGTTTCCCGCTAGACTTTGCCGGTCAAATCCCGCTTTCCGCCATGAGGTGAGATCCAAGGAGAGAAGCCACGGTTGGTTCTTCAAACTTCGCCTGCTAGGCTCACGAGACTAAAAATTGTCCTCGAGCTCGACAAAACGAGGGTCGTCCCACGCGCAGCTGCTTCATCTTTCCCATCGCTACACGATAAAGTCTCCCGACGACGCCTGCGCCGTGGTGCAACAGCATGCTGTCCACGAACGAAACCGGAATGGCATCGACAGCCGTGATAAACTGTAAAAGCCTTCCATCTCCTGATGAGGCTCGGTCGATCCAATCAGGGTCACGGATGCGGTGAGTGATCCCAAGTGCCGCCGTCCCTGCCCCTCTGGTGATGGTCAGTTTGATTCGTCCCGCCATCACCGTCAGTACCACCACCGAAAGGATTCCTTCCAAGAGGATCTTGATCGTCAACGATCGATCAACGACCCACGCCCGGTGGAAGGGGGCGGACTTTTGTCTACGAGTCGATAGGATCGCGCTGGTCTTGCGTATAATGAGATGGCAGATACGGTGTGGAATACGTCTCCACCCGCAAAGCGTCGATCGCATGCGTTGCGAGGGACCTGAGTTTTGGTGAGGTGAACGGATGTTCATGTTTATGTCCTTCTTCTTGTCGCCGCAGCGGGTGTCAATGTATCTGGCTGCGAACCGCTTGGGTTCCTGTCGGATGAAGGATTGGTCGTTCACGAGCCTGGAAGTGGGATCATGACGAACTTGAGTTAGGTGGAAGGGGAGAGCAGTCTGTGATGCTACGGAACCGATCGACCTGTGGGAACTGGTCTGAATGGTGCTGTGCTTTCCCAACGGCGTGGGGATTCTTTGGCTTTTTGACAGGTTGCCGTAAAGCGATTGGGAACCTTCACGACGAAGCATCCGACCGCTGTGTCTTCGCTCTCTCCTCAAGTCCCGTACTCAATATCGTTCTTGGGTTTTTATTGGCTGCTCCGTTAAACAGCAGGTGTTCCGCATCCCGACGTCAACAACTTCTACAAGCATTTCGACACCGCCTTGACGAAAAGTCCCCTTGCATGGAGAACTGCACCACGTCGTCAACGGATGCCTGAAAGCACAAAGGCTCGACATGTCAAACCCCCTTCGCTCTCCCATCAGACTTTCAGTGTACTGTACACGCGCTCATCGTAGCAGATCTATACCACCTTGCTCTTCTCGCTGCCCTGTCCGCAAGGGGTTTGGGGTCCATCTGTCGAACGTGGGACCCCGTCGAACTCCCGAGTCTACGGTATACCCTCGAGCTCGATCGACTGTTCATAGTAACTTCGCATATGATGTAGCCCAGGGACGAGTTCATGGGAGAGCTCAGTCAGCTATGCATCAACTGAGTACATACACGTAAAAGAACCTTGGCACTCTTTCCATCCCAACCTTTCCAAAAGGTGGATTCAGCGGTAAAACTTCATGGCCGCGCATTGCATTCGTACGAGATATACCGCTCCCTTTCAGTCACTTCCCTGTCATCTTCTGCATTGCAGCAAACTGCAAAGTGTATATTTGACGCGTTACGGTCGTCTTCTGGCAGAAGCGGCGAATACGGCGGGAGAAGGCATCGCATGGCGTCAAGGCTAATCCGCTCTACCGTCTTGATTATCGAGTGGAAGGGAGCTACGTCCCACGAGCAACTTGAGCGGACATGCACTTCCGACGGTCCTTCTTCTTGTGCCGCTTAAAACCAATGTGGGTATATCTATGTTCCGCGACCGGTATCCCGCAAGAGCGAGTTTCGCCTCTCCAGACAGTGGTTTAGTGGTAAAATTACCCCTTGCCAATTTATCAACATGGGGTAGCCCCGGGTTCAATTCCCGGCTGTCTGACGAACAACAGCTTTGTACAGCAATCATCCCAACAGCGTTGGTTTCGTTTTGCTGGCCTTTACTTGGCATGCTATTTTTCGGTGCAGATTTTTCGGGCCGTTGGGGTCTGTCGAAAAATCGAAAAAGCGAAAACACATCTTCTGATCTCGGCGAGATGATCTACGTCTACTACCGCTCATCGTGTGTGTGTGTGTGTGTGTGTGTATGTGTTGAAGCTGTGTATGAAGCATGCAAGAGAGTAGAGAGTTCTTTTGAGGTCGCGAATGAATCATATTTTAGGTGAGGATGTTTAAGTTTCTAGCTGTCTAGCAGTCTAAGGTCTATCGGTAAATTATACATTGCAGGGGATGACGGGGGGTCTTGGGAATGAAGTAGATAGTTGAAGGGTAAGGGTGACCTGGGAGGGATGTAGTGATGACTTTGCTCTCGACGATGGGGTGTCAAAGAGTCTCGCTCCGCGGACCAGCCGCAAGTTGTCGAGGGATGAAAAAAAGAAGTCATCCCCGCCGCCGAGGTAAAAGGTGGGGGTTGGAATATGGTACAGATGGAAGATTGAGGGAGTAAAGGGTTTTGCCTCGTAGGATGGCTCAGAAGGAGCTGTCGTAAGGGTAAGGCGACTGAGGATGTTGGTCGACCGAAGACTCGCGAGTCTCTTGGTAGTCGTCTCCGTCCGCCGCCTTGCGATCGCAACCCCACTTGATCAGGTGACGAGCGAGGGCGTCGTGTCGCGAGAAGACCTTCGCGCACTTGGCGTTCGAGCAGACGAAAGGTCGGATGCCGAGGTGGATCCGGGTGTGACGCTTGAGGTCGTGCTTGCGGGAGAAGGACGCCGTGCAGAGCTCGCAGTGGAAGGGCTTCGGGTGAGGTGGGTTTCCGGACGCGTTGCCTCGGTGAGAGGAGGCTCGGACGGGTGCGACGTCGGATGACTTGCGTTGCTTCTTGCTTGGTGCAGCCTCGGCGACGACAGCGGATGGAGCGGCAGGGGATTCGAGTTCCTCGGGCTGGGAGACGGGGGATTCCATGGGGGATTCCATCTCTTGGCTGTCGACGCGGACGGACTCGGCGACGACAACGACATCCTCCTTGACTTCGGGCTCGGGCAACTCGGAAGCGGAAGAAGCGGGAGATCCGAAGCAAGAGGGAGAGGAGGGCTCTTGAGAAGGGGAGTGGGACTCGATCGAGGGAGCGGCAAAAGCTGCCGAAGGTGCGATGGTCAGCGGTGCAGGAGACTGTGGTGGGGAGACGACGCCAGCGCCGGAAGGGAAGTACGAAAAGGACGCGTGACGCTGGTATTGGGGTTCGTCAAGGTAATATGGGGACGGGAGTGGCGCGGGTTGGACGTGCGATGCGGGGGCAAAGGCGTTCTCGAGGACATAGAACTGCTCGGGAGAGGGTGAGGCTGGGTATCGCTGCTGGTCTTCGAAGGCCGGGAACGCGTAGGGAGCGTCGTAGAGTCCGTAAGGCATGGGCTCAAAAGAAAAGGGAACAGCAAGTTCGTCGACCGGCGACAAGAGGCCGTACTGCTGTCCGCTGTAGTAGCCATCATCCTGTGCACTCCACGCGTCGAGCTTGCCGGCGGCGCCGACGGGGTAGGTCGCGTCGAGGTAGATGCCAGTTGGGAGAGGAGACTCGACGTCGAAGGGCATGGACAAGGCCGAGCCCTCGAGTGAGCAAATGGAGGCTGGCGAAGCAGGGAAGGACATCGGGGATACGGGGAGAGACGCGGAAGTGTCCCAAGCGGAGCCGATCTCCTTGTCGGGAAAGTCGGGGAGGGTATGCAAGGATGTGTAGGTTGCGAAATCGAAGTCGGACATTGCGTGTGAGATATGTGAGGGATAGGTGTAGCAGGCAGGGTATGTAGTGTGCGGGGTTTGGGGGCAGAGAGTGTGAGCGAGAGTGAGAGCTACGAGACGGAGGGAGAGGGAGGGAGGGAGAG